AACGGAGCGAGAAAGGACGCGAACCGAAGGTTCCTGGCATCGCGACTTGTACCTGGAGGTGCAGCGAGGTGATGTAACGTAGTCCAGGAAGGTGGGAGAGAGGATGGCGAGTCGAGTACGAAGGAGCAAGGTGGTAAGGGCCGATGTAGAATGGCCTGGGCCCTCATCGGTATGCCCTCGACCGGAGCGAGACCAGCAGGGGAAGGATTCATGGCAGGAGGGAGGATCGGATCACCTGAGATGCTAAGGCTCCAACAGGTTCCAATGAACCTTGAACAAGCTTCGGCCGCTGCGGCCACGTACGCCGTGCCAATATGGCTGGCTGCTGAGACCGCTGCGGTCACGTAAAGGCATAAGCCAACTTGGAATTCCAAAGATGAGACAAAAATCTGAATTCTCTCGGCCTAGGCCACCTACGCCCGCTCTGGGCACTTACATCTCCGGGCAGGGGAGATAACGACAAACCCCCGTTCGACGGGTCCACGGGAGGCACTCTGCGGGCTCATCCCGGGTTGGCACAAGGCCAAACACACTTATGGATATGCGAACTGACGGACAGCGGTGCCACACGCCGGCCTAGAGTACCATTTCCTAAGGGTACAGGTAAGGAAACCTGAAAAGGAAGTGGAGGTCCATCAAGTTCAGCGTGGCCATCAACTCTAAAGGAACCATCGAACGATCGATCGACAGAATGACGTCGTCCGCTCACATCTGCAAGTCGAAACCAAAGCCCTATGCGTGACTGCCGAGAGCAAACCGGTGCAAAGGCCAGAATCTTGTTGTAGTTAAAAGCAGGGACCATTGGGAATTTCCAGGTCAAAACGAGCAGGTACGTCACGGTGATCAGCCGTGATATCCGCATGTACTGTGGCCGCTTCGTTGGACCATCGCGCACAGTACATGGATGGTCCCCCTGCTTAAAACAAAACAATTCAAAGGAATCCCTGTGACTACAAGGGGCACACACACACACGCCTCCCCGAGGGGAGGCGTAAAGCTAAGGTGAGGGCCAATGCGCACGTGCGCGCGCACCAGAGACAAAAGAATGAAGACATGACAAGAGGACGAGACGGGACAATTGTGTGTGTGTGGTTGAAATGAAAGGGGAACCAAGTGCACAGGGACAACCGATGAAGCCCACCTCATTATAAAGACCTGGGCGACCTGAAACCTGTGTTTAGAGTTTAAAGGTAGGTAAAAGTGCACGTACACACTAAGGCCGGGACCAATGCGCGCAAACGAAGAAAAGGATGAGGTGACCAGACATGAAGACAGGAGGACATGAAAGAAAAGAGGAAACAAAAGTGTGTGGAGGGGCAGGGATGAAAAGGGAACCAAATGGAGGGGACGAGAACCGATGAAACCAAACCTCATTAGAAGCGCCTATTGGGACCTGCCTCGTTTGAATGTAAGCGCTGTGTGCACGGGAGAATGGGACAGGCTCCAATGGACCTCAAAAGTACTTTGGTCGCTCTGACCACGTTGAGGCATTAAGCCAGCTTGGACCGCTGCGGTCACGTGAAGGCATAAGCCAACTTGGAATTGCCAGAAATGAGACAAAAATCTGAGTTCTCTCGACTCTCGGCCTAGGCCACCTTCGCCTGCTGTGGGCACGCGCGTTTCCAAAGCAAGGGAAACAACGACAGACAACCATTCGACGGGTCCACGGGAGGCACTCTACGGGCTCATCCCGGACTGGCACAAGGCCAGACTTATGGATATGCATACTGACGGACAGCGGTGCCACACGCCGGCCTAGGGTACCATTTCCTAAGGGTACAGGTAAGGAAACCTGAAAAGGAAGTGGAGGTCCTTCAAGTTCAGCGTGGCCATCAACTCTAAAGGAACCATCGAACGATCGATCGACAGAATGACCATTGGGAATTTCCAGGTCAAAACGAGCAGGTACGTCACGGTGATCAGCCGTGATATCCGCATGTACTGTGGCCGCTTCGTTGGACCATCGCGCACAGTACATGGATGGTCCCCCTGCTTAAAACAAAACAATTCAAAGGAATCCCTGTGACTACAAGGGGCACACACACACACGCCTCCCCGAGGGGAAGCGAAAAACTAAGGTTGAGGCGAATGTGCACGCGCGCGCAACCAAGGACAAAAAGATGAAGACATGAAAAGAGGACGAGACAGGACAAAAGTGTGCGTGGTTGCGATGAAAAGGGAACCAAATGCACAGTGACAAAAAGGTGAACCAAACCTCATTATCAGAACCTGGCGACCTGAAACCTAAATGTACAGTAGGTGTGCGCGTACAGACTAAGGCCCGGACCGATGCGCGCGCAAGAGAAGAAAGGAATGAGATGACAGGACATGAAGCAAGGAAAGACATGAAAGAAAAAGAGGAGAAAAAGAAGTGTGTGAAGGGGAAAAGGATGAAAAGGGAAACCAAATGAAGTGGACGGGACCCGATGAAACCAAACCTCATTACAACGACCATGGAAGACCTGCCTCATTTGGTTACGACAGGTCCCACCGGAGCTTAAAAGAACTACGGTCGCTCTGCCCACGTGGAGGCGTTAAGCCAGATTGGACCGCTGCGGTCACGTTCATCAAAGAGCCGGCTTGGAATTCAATAATTCAGCAAGTCTTGGCAAATAACTTGGCACAAGCCTACTCTGCCCACTGTGGGCACGTGCGTTTTCAAAGCAAGGGAAACAACGACAAACCCCCGTTCAACGGGTCCACAGGGGCCACTCGTCGGGGTCACCCTGGGCTGACCTTCGTGTCAGACACCTTATAGAAATGCGTACTGATTTGGTTGCGGTTTGCCACAGCCAACCTGGGTACCCAAATCAAACGGAAGTGAGGCCAAACGCGCAAAAAAAATCGAGGCGACAAGTGACAACGTAGTCGCGCAAGTCTGCAGAATTAAAAGGGAAATGCGGCCACCAGCTGCGACCTATTATGATTATTATTATGTGCCCAGGTGCACCAAAGCAGGTACGTTTGCACAAGCACTGCGTGAGCGTCTTCGTTGGCTCTCGTCTCACGCAGGCTCCGAGAGCGCCCTGCTGTTTACAAAAGTGTAATACTCCAAATGGATCCCTGTGACTCCAAGGGTTACACACACACACCCGTATAACGTCCTTTTCTGTTTTGAAAAGAGGTGCAGCAGGTGGCCAGTTTAGGTACAGTGAGCAATAATGACTTGTCCAATGACAAGCTGCCTGGGCTGACGCTAATGCCATCACACCGTGTATTCCTTATTCCTTCACATGATGCTCAATGTCGCCAATAATAGGAGCTGTCCTGTTTCTGCGAAAGCAGGGCTTTGTGACGTATCTCCTCTAAGACACTCATTGTCAGCGCTTTGCCCAAAACCTCTGACAAGACATTACACCACAATGACATTGACTTGTGCAAAACTATTGTGGACGGTGAAAAATGCTGTCTTAGCATGCTGGCCTTCGTGGTTCCAACTGCGAGGCCCTGGTCTGGTAAATCAACTTGGGCGAGCTGCTTCCGAAGAGCCTGCGTTCAACCCCTTAAGTGTTTGGATTTCAACCAGCATGCACTTTCAACAGGTAGAAGGCCAGACCGCAAACAAGTTGCTTGTTTCAGGAACCACCGAAGCTCGGATCTTGAAAGGACATGCGATTATATATGGAGATCCCAGGCATGCCAATTATATATATATATAAGTCACCTGGACCCTGTCAAGTCCCAGATCGGCTGAATCAGCATAGGGTGAGATGGTTTAGAACAAAATTGCAAGCAATCTCAGGCAAAAAATGACTGCTCGTAAAAGATCTGAGGCAAGTTGCAGTCACAACCAGATTTAGCTTCTCCTGCTCCGGCACCTGCCTCCAAACATCAAGCAATATGATTTTGCCATAATCCATCAAATTCTGTTGGCCCAATATATAATGAGTTGTTTGAAGGCTGTGCCTGGGCCCAACAAGCTCTGGCCATTGCTCTTTTGGCAGGCACCGACAATAACGTTCCACAAAGTCGGCCTAGAATGCATCAACTACAGCACCCTACCAAGCTTGATGACTGGTTCTTTGATCGGGCCACTTGGGCCTAGGCGAAAAGGCCAGGAAATCCGTATTGGTAGTCTGGTTTTGTCCAACAACCACAAATCACAACCAAAACGTTGAAACCAAGCCGTAACCTGCAAAACAAAACAAAACAAAACACTCAAGATCTCAGATCAAAAGAATACAGGCCTACAAGGCCTCAAAATATAACCTTTAAGATGCATTCGACACAACGCAACCTAAGCACGGGCTTTGTTTGACAATCAATTGGGGATAATTAGCGCATTGTGCCTGTCCGCTCAACTGAAGCCAAAAATTATACAGGCATGCGCGAATGTTCAAGACTCCGCGTCCACCTTTTCAAAGAATTGATCTTTGATTCAGTTGGAAAGTGTTCGGTGTCAAGGCTTCCGATCATATTTTGCTGTAATTATCTCAGATGTGGAACTTCTTCGACATGTGTTGTTGTGTGGGACTTTAACTCATAACGTTCATATTTGCTGATTTGCTTCAAACGTTGAGTTCAATAGCCTCGTTCTGAAGCGACAGACTTCTGTAATTATGGGGGCGAACTTGCGATTGCAGCCACAAATTCACTTCTGCTGATGATGGCTCCCTGTGGCGTATTCCGACACGGTGAGGTACCCGGATAAAATGTGAGCAGCAAGCAATGTAATTCACTATATCTTCCAGTTGCATCCTCAAAGTCTCTTTGTGTTTAGTTTTGATCTGATTTCAACTATTGAACATTTCATTTCAGGGTTTACGGTTGACGGCTTTCCTCTATTCGCACGAAGTAAGTAGGTGCACAAAGGACTCAAGCAACTTAGGGTGCAGCAGGGTTGGTCACTACACTGCTGGAACAGATCGTACTGGAAAGGGGCGACCTTTTTTTCGGGATTTTGTCCGACGCGTTCTGGGATATTTTTCCGCACTGTTTGTGGTCAGGGGTTGCCACAAAGAGAAAAAGAAAGAGAGCCAGCGCAGGAGGCAAGGGACAGAAGAGTAGAAGGAGAAGGAGAAAAAACTAGCTTAGGAGACAAGGAACAGAAGAGTAGAAGGAGAAGGAGAAAAACAGGAAAAGGAGGAAAAGAGGGAGGAAGAGAATCGAGAAGGAGAAGGAGAAAGAGAAGGAGACAGAGGAGAGAGGAGAAGGAACAAGAGAAGGAGAAGGCTCTTTCCGTTGCTTTCTTGCAGCCATGTGAGAATGGTAGCGCTTACCGGTAAGTCTGAAAAACATAAGTGTATGTCCACGCATGCATATGTATATCTATGTACGTGTATGTATGTAAGCTTGTCTATGTATGTATGTATGCACTTGGTTGCTTTCTTGGCTGTCATGATGCGCTGTAGCAATGCCCTGAAATAAAAAAGCGGGAGGGGGTGTGGAGGGGGGTGCAGCGTTATTCCGCAAGGAAAACAACGTATATTGAGTATCCCCGCGCTGAAAAACCAATCACCAAGAGTTGTTTGTGTCCAGGTCCCTTTTTCTGTAAAGTGTTTGAGGGTCAAGTGCATTGCAGGCCAGTCGCTTGCAAACTGGTTTGCTGGCTTTGTCTTGAGTGACCTGCTTAAATTTAAAAAACGGGAGGGGGTGCCGGGGAGGGCGCGGCGCCTCCCCCGCAAAACAAAGTATAGTGAGCATCCCAGCACTGACACATTGCTCCTTCCTCCCTTCCTCCCTTCCTCCCTTCTTCCCTTGCTTGCTTGCTTGCTTGCTTCCTTCCTTCTTTCCTTGCTTCCTTGCTTCCTTGCTTCCTTGCTTCCTTGCTTCCTTCCTTGCTTCCTTGCTTCCGTGCCTCCGTGCCTCCCTGCTTCCTTGCTTCCTTGCTTCCTTGCCTCCTTGCCTCCTTGCTTCCGTGCTTCCGTGCTTCCTTGCGTCCTTGCCTCCTTGCGTCCTTGCGTCCTTGCCTCCTTGCCTCCTTGCCTCCTTGCTTGCTTGCTTGCTTGCTTCCTTCCTTCCTTCCTTCCTTCCTTCCTTCCTTGCTTGCTTGCTTGCTTCCTTCCTTCCTTCCTTCCTTCCTTCCTTCCTTCCTTCCTTCCTTCCTTCCTTCCTTCCTTCCTTGAAGACAACAGAACCTGGAAAAATATCCCCAAAACACGTTGGAAAAACATTCCCACAGAAAATAGGATTCGACTGGAAAGTCACAATCGTGGACTGCTCACAGCTCTGAACTGAGAGGCAGACGTGAAGCAATCGCATCGGAAAGCCAGATTGCCTGATGCGCACTGCCTCAAAGATTCCACTGTACAACATCTGTTCGTAGGTATACCTTAGACCATGCTCAGACTGCATGTCAAATGCATGATCCATGATCTGTTGCATCATATCCAGCTGGCACAGTCGCACCACAAAACACACAAATCATAATCTCAGCAAATTTCACATCTGCACGTTGTTGTGCTTTGCTCAGAGCTCCCAAAAAGTTGCGCCAAGAGTCTTGGAGTCAAAGTTGTCCGGGGCCTCATCAAAAGCCCAACTTTGCAAGACAGTCAAACGTCTTTGCAAGTCAAAACATGTGTGTCAGAACGTCTTTGAACAACACGGGAGTTGAACTCTCCTTGGCCGGGTTTGGCTTGAGGCAACGGATGAAGTGAGGCTCCGCTGAGTTCACCTCGGCTCACAGAGGTCTTGGACAAGGATGAGATGCGGTGCTATGATATGAAGAAGAAGCTGGAGAAAGAGCCAGGACAAGGGAATGTGAGCATCAACACTGCCAAAGGCTTTGGCCAGGAAGTCGTTGAGGGCCGGGCGGTTTGCATCAAGTCCTCTAAGGACTGCCGAAAACCAGAACTGACAGTCTTGACCTCCAGGCCACACGCAAACGCAATCGCACCATGAAATGCATGGACCACGGTTTCTTGCCATTTACCTGCACAGGGCAATTCAGCCATGAACACAGAGTGAGTGACATGCTATGGCACAAGATTGCACAAGGTAGTGAGTAGTGGCATAGAAAATGCAAACCGTGCGGTGCAGCCCAAATCAAACCCGGTAATGACGAGACGAGGCATCCAGGGACCAGGGAGTCACCACGATATCCTGTAGATGGGGGAAAGAAGTCAACAAAATGAGATCTAGAACGCGTAAGAACACCATGAATTCCAGAATTGCTCTAAGGATGCGGGTTTCATGTCAGGAAGCTCAATGTGGTGAAGCCAAAGCCAAGTGTTCTCAAAGTCGCTTGTTTTTTGCTCGGAATTGGATCTGACACAAATGACGCAAACACCATCGTTTGCAGCTGCTTGTGCAGCTTCCAAGACAAAGACCACATAAATGGTGCAGAAATGTTCATCCTTCCGCGCAGGATGGCTAACGATGCGGCTAATGCATTGGCAGCGAACACCCCACCTCACGAGGATGTTTGCTACTTAATCGATAGTTTCAAATCTGTTCCCACTGCATAGGGGCAAAGTCTGGTGACGGAGCCACACTTCACGATTTGGCATGGTTTGCTTCTCTTTTGAAAACTATAAATATAGAGAGAGAGATGTACACGGATGCACTCCAAAGATTGTCAGGGAAACTTATTCAATTTGTCTTGTGTCCTGCGATGGAATCCTGCTACCCACTCACTAAAGCAATGATCTGATGATGCTAACAGTGCTAATCTGCTTTGGTGCAACAATAGGCATCATCAAGGGCAAAGTTGCAGGGTCTTCAAGATGGCAGGCAGCCAAATAACATAAACAAAAAGACCGTGTCATCAAAATACTTCACAATAGCATTCGCATTCGAGGTTCACCATCTCACAAAGAGGTAGTGGGAGAGAAACTTGTCTGGTGAAGATGAGGGAAAACAATTGAAAAGACACAATCCGATAAAGTCGACGGTGGGTGGCGTGCCGTCCTGCAATAAGACAAGACTTTCCTACACCTTTCCAAAGGCCATGCGGATCCCCGCCTTTCGGCCTTTACTACGACTTTCAGCCTCTACTTCAGCAGTCACTTTCTTGCCAATTTCCTGCAGAATGTAAGTGTGTTTGTGAATCAAAAACACGAGCCCTGGAGTCTGTACAGTAATTCTTTGGGCAATTTTCTCGATATCACAGGCATTGCCAGTGTCAATCCGGACAGTGCCTGCAGGATTGAGGACGATGAAGAGCAAAGCAGTGCAGCAGCCTGGTAGAATCCAATCGGCAAGTGTGTGATGGTCTCTTGCAGACCAAACTCGTTCTTGATCTCTGGTCTTCACTTGCATGCCTCATCAGGAAGCTTTGCTCTGTTTTTCTCCAAGAAGCCCTTAGCAAACAGAGCTGGAACTTGAGAACTAAAAGGAAACAAAAGCACTAGACATTGAGGAGCGCAGGCCAAAAATTGCGAAAGATAATGGAAACCCAGATCAGGCTCTTTACAAGCTCATGGGGTTGTAGAGCTTCAGGGCTTTGGGTGGCTGGACTCCTGATCGCCCGAGTGCATTGTCACCATCTCAACACAGTTGAGTAGTTCTTTTCGCGTCCATGATGTCCTAGCATGTAAGACTGGCACTGAAAACTTTTGCGGCCGCTGTCACAGCTGCAGCTTTGTTGCTCCCACCGACAGCTCTGGTCATGAGGAAAAGTGCTCTATGGTGGAAGTTGCTCTTGGCTTGTTGTTTGGCTGTGGTCCTCCAGGTCTGATGTGGCTAAAGCACGCGCCAGATCCACACGCACCGTTGAAGCTGTATACTGTGCAACATGTTGGGTACACGGGGGCTTGCCCCGACAGCTACATGCACAGGGCTAGACAAGCATGTGAGCAACTTATTGTCTTGGAGTTAATGAGCCCCAAGACGTTTTCAAGACACACACACACACACCCAAGACAAGGTCATTTGCGCTTTCCAGAATCTTGCCATTTCTTTTCCACAACAAACATCAGCCGTCTCCCCATTCAAGCCATGACAGGTCAATGTACATTTGAGCTGGCGGACAAGTGTCTTGCACCGCCTCTGTGTTTTTTCACAGCCTGCAGCATTGAGTCCAAGCCTGGATGTTGGCTGAACCACAATGCTGCAAGGCCATCAACGTGCTCTGGTTGCAGCTTGGCGAATGTCGAAAGCAACGCGAAGGTCGATTTACGCGAGTAGTAGCCTGAACGAAGTTGTCCCTAACCCCCCCACCCCCCACCCCCCGAAAACCATGTTGGGTCGTCGGGACGAGAAGGTTTGCTTTCAGGGCAAAACTCCCCAGTGACCCAACATGTTGCTGTAAATCCAATTTGTTCTTCAGAATTTATCAACATAATCTCACTGACCTTATGTTTAAGAAACACAAACTGGATATGCCAGTTTTGCTTCAATGTTCTCACAACCTTGAGTCACCCCATTGCTTTTGAGAAGAACTCTAACAGCATCGAGAACTCGAAAGCGCGGCAGAGAGATCTGCAAAGACACCCAGAGGCCATGTGTTTGTGAATGTAAACAGTGCCCGAAAAGTTTTTCAAGAGTAAAAATGAGCTTGTGTGTTTTCTATGCTTGGTGCAGACTAGGTTCAGTCGCATCATAAGTGACTTCTCCGGCAAAATGCCTCAGCATGGCAAAGCAACGCATAGCGTGGCAACTTCCTGTTTCATGCAATCTGCAATGCTCATCCGTGTTGGTGTTGAAGGTTCCTTTTCTTGACATGCTTCGTCCACCCAGTGTCCCATATCAACAAAACCAGACTGGAGCAAAGGTGCTTGATGCCAAATTTCACTGCACCTGCACCTTGACAGGACCATGATGCCAGCTTGACAACAACATGCCTTTGCAAAGCCGATATGCCGCACAAGCTTCAAGGACAGCAGGCGTCAGGTTCAAGTCTGGTCTCGATTGATGCTTGACAGTGAATTCAGAACGGGCGCCTCCCATTCTAGTCCTCACTATCCTGAAGCATCAAAGTCAAGTGAAAGGTTTGAGCACAAAGTCAAGCACGCCGACCAGGCCGACCAGGCCTTGTATGATCTCCATGTGCCCTGATGACTTTGGACACGAAGGTCTCATCTGTGGTCCGAGGGAGGCTGGCCTCGCTTCCAAAGGCTGACGTTTTGTCGTGCGTCATGTCTTGCCCTTCGGTTACTTTGACTGTGCCCTGGTCGCAAGTGTTTCCGTCCTTCCGCTGCTTCCACTTCTTTGCAGTATGAATTATGGTTTTCCATTGATGTGGTTACCAAATGTACCTCTTTTGGGGGTGTGTCGGAACAAATTTTGTTTGCATGGTTTCAGTATGCTTCTTAAGAAGAATTCTGCCTTCATAAAATCTACTGTATCCAAAGTATTCTCTTACTTGCAAGACACCTCCTTTTGAAGAACCCCGTGTTCACACAATCCTCTTTGTTCCAGTATACCCAGCCTGTTCCTTTGCCAAATCTCTTTCAGTGGTGGTGTTTTCGCTTCACAGAATGAGACTCCACAAGGTATCGAATGTTCTTCCCTAAAAGTCTCAATGAACAAGTCTGTTACATGAGTCTCATCCTTTGTCCACATCTTCTTACAAAGAACTGCTTTTCTTTATCCTGTCTGAATGGTTATATATTTCCTTTTGTCAGATCCTCACCCTGTATCAGCGTCTCATCTTCATCATATATATATATATATGTTTACGTTCTCTCCTTCACGATACTCTGCAAAAAGTCTTTCCGTTGATGGTGGCCTTTATGGACGAAACCTCCATTGCTGCCAGAAACCTTATGGCCTTATGGGACATTGAACAAACAAACCCTACTGGTTACTTGAATCAAAGTCTTTGTGCAGCAACATATATACAGTAATTGCTTCAGACATGTCGCTGTTGAAGGTATTTGATCCTGCATGGGTGACGTTGCGTACATTTAAAGTTCCCCTAAAGACATTATTCAGCCAATCAATTCCCAGGTCTTTCATGGGCTTAAAGTCTATGGGTAAACTTTGTTAGCAACCTATTTCGTATACCCAGGAGATAATCGAATGCCCAAGTGCTACTTTGCACGACTCTCAGTTACCTTTTTCTCTCCTTTACTCAGCTCTCTTCTGGTGTGATTACAGCAATATAGTCATACTTTTATATTTGCCTAATTTCGGCCGTTGATAAGCATCATGCAAGTTCAACATGAAGACAAGGAGCCAACCGCCAATACAACAAAGGGAGGGGAAAAAGACCTCTTGCATGGCTGTCTAACTCCTAATCTTTTCTTGCTTGATGTTTTGTTGATTCGTCTTAATCTTGAAGAACAATTTTGCAAATGGAAAGAGATAAGCAACATATATTTGAGCAAGAGGCAAGCCTATTCACACTTGGAAGAGCTCAAAGCAAATTCAGGAGATGGAAATTGTTAAAGGGATAAGAGTTCAACTTACTTGGTTCTGATGAGGCGCCAGAAGAGGCAAAAGCTCAGACGAGGCAGGTACCAAAAGGTACTAGTATATACCTACTAGAAACCAAGAACCAAGATTGCACCTAACTCTTGGCGGGAATGTTGGTTCTTGGTTCCTGGTTGCTACTAGTAATTACCTCTCAATACGACATACTTTGAAACTTGCAAAGCTATTGGGTAGAACTAGTTCATCACTGGAACCAAGCATTAAGATTGCTGGAAAAGTTGCTGGTCCTCCTATCTTCAGATCAAACCTAAAAGCAAGAAACCATTCACGCAAGACCGTGCATGAAATCAGCTTCAAACTATCATGCCACCACACCCATATTATATATATATACATATACGTATTTATTGAGTTGTGTACCCCCCCAAAGACAAACAAAATCCAGCCCTCAAATCCTGCCTTTGAAAAGCTCACAAAAGCTCACAAAGCAATATCATTAGAATAACAATGCTAGGTGGCTACCTGTGTGCGTGTATATTATGTATATATATTTTTTTTTTATTAATATATGCTGGAGTTTTCCTAAATGTTTTTCCCAAAAAAGTGTGTTCTCGTTTGTTAAGGTCATGCTAAATCCATATAAATCGGTTGAGTTCATCTTTTGCCAATCTTTCACTTCCGTTGAACCAGCTGTCGCAGCTTGAAGTGCGGTGTTTTTGTTTGATGTATATATATTTATTTATTTATCTGTTTCTAGATTTGAAATAAAGAGTTAGGCTGTTGCATTCCAAGAAAACTGTCTCACGTGAGCAGTCCCAAATCTTTTTCGTCTTCTCTCAAACGGCAAATACCAAACTGACCACTCCGGAATCTGACATGTACGCCTTGTTTGCTGCGTCAATCCACTAGTAAGGCCAAGAGCTACTAGTAGCATCCTTGCTCCTAGTAGTAAGGCCAGGAGCTACTAGTAGTGTCCTTCGACTTTGCTTGATTTCTATTGCTGGTACCTGTGCCTCGTCATCCAAAAGGGAAAGAATGCCGCCTTTGGCATTGATCAAACTAACGATATCCGAGTTGTCCTGCCACAAGTCCAGCCGTTTGAATACAAAGCTGATCTGCTGATCGCACTGCTGGCCTGATATTTTATGTCGATACCCACCTCAATGCCTTCAGCTTCATACTCCTGGCACAAATCAAAAGTTCCTGAACTTGCAGAAACAATGGCAAGTCCGCTCCTAGGGTCCTAAACGCAGCTTGCTCCATGACAAGTCCGAGCGAATGATAAAGCAAACAAGCAAATACAAAAGTCACGTGCCATTTCCAGTGCTCCTTGAGTTCCATTCGGAAAAAGTGTTGATTGAAGTGGCTTTGCAAGATTTCATTGCTCAAATTGATGAAGAGTTGCCTCACTCAAAAACAACCTCTGGCTTCACTAGTGTTTACAATGCAGCACGAACAGATTAGAAGGAATGCTGTCAGGCATCTCCAAGCTGTTGCGTTCGAAGCTTTCAAACCCAGCAATGTCCAGCACTCCCAGGAAAACCTTGATCTGTTCCAATCAAGAATTTTGTTTGCTCCCCTTTGTAAGACTTGATCAAGCTTTGTGGGAACCTGGTCAGTATTACGCCACTTTGCTCTCCCTAGGTCTTGAAAATCAATGCATCAGTGTACACTACGTAGATTATGTAGCAACAATTTAAAGCCCAGCGTTGTGCAAATGTCTGGAAAAAGTAAGAGTATATAAGGAAAGGACTTGGCTGGTGGAAGACTCGCGAAGTTTCTCGTTGATTTTCTCCTCAAGGCTGCCGGAAGTCATCACGAGAGCATGAAAAGTACTGTAATTCTATCAGGGATCGAACTCCTTCCAATGGTTGCGTGGCTTTCTGACTGTTGAAACCAAGCATCAATGAGCCACTTGAAGGTGCGACCGTACAGCATCCTTGCTTGCAGGTAGCAATGTCTCAAGTTAAGCTTCCCTAAGAATCTAGGAACCAAATCATTAGTGCGAGCGCTATCCTGCGTCCAGTTACTAGTAGTTGCTTCTTATTACTGGTAGCTTACAAGTTGTTCCTTACTTAATTATATAAGTTTGCGCCTACTTAATCAAGTATTAGGGAGGCAGAACCCCCACCGGCCAAAAATGAACTCAGTCCATCCTAAAGGTTATAAGTCTCTCGCCTGGCAAAAGTATCTCGCACGGATTTGGCTTGAGGAGGGGTCCTGCAATTGGCCAACTAAGACAACAAGCAAACAAAGCCTCTTGTATAAGAAAAAGACAAGAAAAAAGAAAGAAACCTCTTACAAAGCCTCTTGAAGTGTCTTGTGGCTTTTTAAGAAAAAGAGCTGCACCGCAGACCGCAGCGTTAAACAAAGGGACAAAGCACACAGCTACCATAGTGCCATAGTGTGCTTGGTATGACGAAGAAACAAGAAGAAGTTGCAAGTCTGCAGGTGAATGCCCATGTGCTGCACAAAGGAGTTTGACTGTCACGACCAGCTGCAAGCCAATGCCAACGCAACATTCAGTGTACTGCAATTCAGGGGCCGGGAGTGGTTGTTGACCAATTCAGGAGGCTAACTCTTGGCAGGACTGGTCACCAAGGTTAAGCTATCAGTGTGCCAGAGTGTAGATGGTGTGGTACGCAAGCAACAAGTGAAACCGCTTTATGTTGCCCGCACCAGAGACGTTGTCACTTCCTTTCCAAATGCAGAAGCATGATTCCCGAACCAAAACCAGGACGAGTGCCTCGGCTCAACAATCCGCTATTCTGTGGCAAATCTAAACACCGCTTGACACCTATGCTTACAGCCTGCAACATGAAGGAAACTGTGAGAGGTAAACAAAGCTTCCTTGGGAATCGTTTCACCTGTAGTAACAAGAAGCTTTCTAGTATGCTTTGAAGCTTCTTAGTCAAAGAGAGGTAAACAAAGGTAAACAAAGAATGTCGTTGCCAGATGTCAGTCCTTTGCGAGTTCATAACCTGGCCGGTGTCAGGCACAAAACACTGTAGCACAACTAACACGATGGCTCCTTAAGCAAGACTCCTTTTTTTCATGTGTTGCTAGCTCGTGCGCAGTCTAACTGAACTAAGGTTCCTGGCGCCAAAACAGTGTGAGAACCAACACAAGCACATTGATCATGTGATATCCTCGTGGCCGTGTTGGATACTATCTCTGCAGCATCATTGCCATGAACAAACTTGAGAGAGGAAGGGGGTGAACGAAAGGTACCGCAGCACTGCGTGTGGAGAGAAACCGCCTACATAGCTTAAAACCATTGATATTACGTGAAAGGTTGTATGGGAGAAACGAACTTGTGTGTTTGGATCAGCCAAGTTTGTGGCCACTTTGAAGCTTACATAGCTTAAAACCATCGATATTTACAGGGCTTTGTGCCAGGAAGGCGCACAAAACCGTGTAAATACCGTGGTTTTTTACAATTTTGAAGCCTCCGAAAGCCGAAAAAACCCTTTCCGACACAATCTTTCCTGGCTTTTGGTCATTTTTCGGCAATGTTTCAAACCGAGACACGTCAAAAACCATCAGTTTTTACAAGTTTTTTTGCCGAACAGCCACATAAAACCCTGTAAATTGCATGGTTTGAGGCCATGCTTGAAGACAGGAGGAGCTGAAAACACTACTATTTACGGTGCTTTGTAGCCGTCGATCCAGAGGCGCACCACGGTTGTGCGCTGGGAAGCGCAGAAAACCATGTAAATACCGTCGTTTTCTGCCGGGAAGGTGCACAAAACCGTGTAAATACCATAGTTATGTGCAATTTTGAAGCCTCCAAAAGCCTCAAAAACCCTTTCCGACAAAATCTTTCCTGGCTTTTGGTCATTTTTCGGTCATTTTTCAAACCGAGACGCATCAAAAACCATCGGTTTTTACGGTGTTTTTTGCCGGACAGCCACAAAAAACGCTGTAAATTGCATGGTTTTCGGCCACTGTTGAGGACTGGAAGAGCTGAAAACACTGGTATTTACGGTGTTTTCGAGCCGTTGACCCCGAGGCGCGCGAGGGTGGAGTTGAAAGGGGGGGGGGCCCCCCCCCGGGCCAGCAAACGAATATGTCGGGGGCCATTTCTCAATGAGAAAGGCTCCACTCTGGGTATAATACATGTTTGCTAAAGCAAAAGGAAAACTCAGGTAGCGTAACCGCTACCTTTCGTGACAACAGATCTTCGTCAATTTGCGGTGGAAAGCACGAACACTCACCACCGGCCTCCCTTCAGAGTAATTAGTGACTAATATAAACCCTGGTCACACGGACGTCTCCATGACGGTATTTTTGCCATATCTAGCAACATCTTGAAGTACCCCCCATAGCACTCACGACGGTCGCCATTACCCTTCCCTAGTGCTGAATTCTTGTCCACAGCAGCAACTTGCGATGTAAATATTATGTCTCTGTCACTTAAGGGGGCTACACCAAAAGGAGACGGGTTCAAAAGAATGCATGAAAAAATATATAAACCCTAGGAACAGGACGTGACTAACATCTCTTGCGCGCTATGGTGATTTCGAGTTGCCATCACTTGGAGGAACCCCAACTACAGACTTTCCTGGTTTGTCGCATCTGGGCAGCGGCCGACCGAAACATGAAACTGCTTCGCCAGCTGAAGTTGCTGCCACAGGTGGACAACGTGCACAGTTTGTTGGCGTTGTTTGGGGAGTGGTCCTCGTGTGAGGGTCGGCCCGCAGGCCGCCCAAGTCCGCAGTGGGCCCGCATACGGAATATATCTGTATATTATAACATGTTACGTTATGTTATATTTGTGTATATTTGTGAAGATGCGCTGTATACATATATATATATATAGACCTGAGAGGGGAGGGGACGAAAGCCTGCCTCTGGCTTAGGGAGTGCTCTTAGGGTAGGCTCGGGCAACGACGTGGCGTGCAAGAGGAAGTGATGGGGCACAATCGGGGAAAGAGAAAGTTTGTGGTGCGAAGTTGACATCGCAGCCACAGGGAGAGGGGGTAGAAATGGACAATAGAAGATATAGGTCTGGGGGGGGCGCCCTTTTCTGTCCTTGTTTAGGGTGAATATTGAAATGAAACAGGGCACCCCTCAGGAAGTGAGGCGCCTTTGCCGGCGGCGTGTTGCGAACCAGGGAGCAGAGACGGCGGCGGGGGTGCACGTGCGAGGCAAAGGGTAGGGTAGGTGAGGAGGTCCCCGTCTTAGACATCATTGTGCAAGGTAGAGTGGACAAAGAGTAGCCGGAAGTGGTGAAGTTGATATTGGAGCCACTTGAGCGCGCAAGATGAAATGATTGGCTAACATCGGGCAAAGAGTACTTTTATGGGGTGAAGTTGGGATCGCAGGTATCCGATAGGAGGTAGAAACAGAAGGTAGAATTAAAAGGGGGGGTGTCCTTTTTCGTCCAGGTCCAGGAGTGTTTTGGAGATGAAAAAGGGCGCCCCGCAAAATCCTCAAATATATTATATGAGTTTGCTTGCTGCGTGTTGCTAATCAGTGAGCAAAAATGGTTGTGGGAAGCCTATGGGCGAGGCTATCGGCAGGCTTTCGTGAGGATACATATATGTATATAGGTAGAGTGGAGTGGTGAAGTGGATACGACCGTCATTCGAGATAGAATGGAAATAGACAGTAGATAGGTTTGGGACGGGGTGCCCTTTTTCGTCTTGATGTCGGGGCGTTGTGGAGCTGAAAAAGGGCACCCCTGTAGTCAGGGGAAGGTTTGGTATGGTGCGCTGGTCTATGTTTCAAGTGAGTTGACGGCTGGCTTTCGTGATTAGATACTCCCCATATGGGGTGCCCTTTTGAGTCCACCAACTAGACCGGATAAAAAAGGGCACCCCTAAGCAACTCAAAACCTTCCGCCTCCAACGCTTGCCCGCAACTGCAATCTGTTCGCTTTCCTGCTCTCAAGTATACGGTGACTTCTAACCAGCTTTTCACGTCCCCTTGTCTCATCGACGTGAACTCCCACCCCTAGTAAAAACAGTATATATGGCCTCCTGAGCCCCTGACGATGCTGATGATGCACTACTGGCCGTCACTACATCACCAGCATCACAACACCCCCAAACACCACTCATTTTCACCAAGTGGCCCGCCTCTTTCTGTCGCTCTCCCCCACCAGGCTCTGGGTTCACCTCTCCGGAAGTGACCACCCACGCGACCACCCCCCCACATCCCCTTTACTCACTTCGTTCGCTCAAGAACCTCAAGCCCAGCCTATCGGCTGGCTTTCGTGATATATATATATACATATGTACATGTATACATAAATATGTATACATGTATTTTGTATGGTTGTTTACATGTGTATCTGTTTGACATGTGCTTAATTGCTTTCAAATAGTTTCAAATATATGATATATCGTTGTGTGTTTTACATGTCAACACCGCTAACCGGGGCGCGGCTTGGGAGTAACCGCGCTATCCCCGAGAGCATTCGTTAAAGGTGCTTCTTCAAGGCAGATTCAAGCACTACGCACGGTTAACGATAGACATACACCGGTGTATTAACGTGAGAACATCACCACGCAAATAATTAACAGAATGGAGTTTGAGCGCGAGAGCATCAATGCAAGAGTCAGAACACAAAGTATGAACATGGACATGCGTGTTGATCAAGCCTTGTCTTCAGCTCCTTTAGACACTTTGCAGCCTGAGGTATGTATAGATGTGTACGTTTGTATGTGTATGTACTTGTGCATTTTTCCAAAAATGCGCTTGTTTATCAACCATCATCAATGTTTATCATATTTCCAGTGCATAAATATATATATATGTATATCACAATAACACCGCTAACCAGGGCGCCTGGTGTGGGAGTCACCACGCTTTCCCCGAAACTATTCGCGAAGGGCTTTTCTTCACGGCAGATACAAACATGAGATGTCTCTTTACACACGGTCTCCGGGCGCTAGACATCTGAGTATCAACAAAAGAACATCACCACGAGAGTAACTAACAAAATAGATTTTGAACGCGAGAGTATTAGCAAAAATCATACAGGTGTGCAGTTTCCATGGAAGGATATTCTGACGCCCAAAACTGCAAATTCTGTCCATGTTGTCCCTGACAACACAAACCGTGTACACGCCACTAGGCCATACTACCACCTTTTCCAGCGCAAGGGCAAGGTTTACTTGTTGCACTGGATCTTGCACTGCACCTTCACCGTGCTCTGAGGACTTCAGCCGTCGGTTTTTGTTTCTCTCTGCTTTTAACACCCAACGTCGCACCTCAGTGCCAACTTTGCGCTGCTGTATCAGAATCATACTCTTCAATGCCTCACAAAGAACATCACATGCTTTTCGGAATCCAACGCCATGCCTCGCTGGTTTCAATCACAATAGGAGTTGTTTGACTTGAGGCCAAGGGGGGGGCGAAAGCTAGCGCTCCAGAATGGGAAAGTGGAGGGCAGCGAGGTAGGAAAAAACACGGCGCTCTTTTTGGAGGCAGGGGTGAAGAGTCCTTTATATGTGGCTCTTTGCCCGGATCCTCCTGCGAGAGAAGAGAGAGAAGAGAGACGGAAAGACGAGAGACAGAGAGGAGAGAGAGAGAGAGAGGAGAGAGAGATGAGAGAGATGAGAAAGAGATGAGAGAGATGAGAGAGATGAGAGAGATGAGAGAGATGAGAG